GAAACACCGTTCCTCACAAGCAAATCCATCAGGGTCACACTGGTGTCGGAATACAAGATATCAGAGTATGCAATGACCCCAGAGCCYGTGATACTGGTCTCTTCCTCATGAATGATCTTGATGAATGTGCAAACCGTCTGTAGGAGAAGGGCAGAAAGGATGTTCCAGGCAGTGCTCCAAACACGGTGCTGGGCTGAGCAGTGACAGCAGTCCCGGCCCYGGTGGGGATGGCTGCAGGTACCTGTGCTGCTCTGCGAAAGCGGCCCTGGGYGGAGTCCTCCTCTTGTGTCCGGTCCACGCCGGCATCTGGTAAAGAGAGAGCACAGCCAGAGCTGAGGGCCTGCGGGAGAGGCCGGAGAACACAGCCCAGCCCTGCGCTCCCCTGGCAGGGACAGYCCCGGGATGCCCAGGGGATGGAGCATGGCCGCAGGGTGGGCAGCAGCCCCAGCCCCTCTTCGTCCTGTCCATGGGCACATCCAACACGGACAGGATGGGACAGGCCCATGCTGGCTGCAGGCACCAGCCCTGTGGGCCAGCTCTGGCACTCACCCTCCTGCTGGACCTGCTCCACCTCTGGTGGCTGTTCCACCTCTGGCGGCTGCTCCATCTCTGGCGGCTCCTCCACCTCTGGCAGCTGCTCCACCTCTGGCAGCTGCTCCACCTCTGGAGGCTGCTCCACCTCTGGCGGCTGGACCTGCTCCACCTCTCCAGGCTGCTGTGCTGAGACAGCTGCAGGGCCTTCCTCCTCCTCCTCCACCCACGCCAGCTTGGGCGTGCTCGGGGGTCTCTGCTCCATGCCAGTGACTGGATTTATGGCCACTGGCAGGAGAGATCCCTTCAGAAAGCTCTGGGTGAGCAAGCCCTGCAGATGTGCCTTGGAGGCACCTGCAGGAGAGAAGGCTACAGGACCACAAGTCCTGCACTGGGTCTCGAGGGCACCTGCCACAAGGATTGGAGACTCCTTGTCACGGATTGTGGACAGAAAAGCCCACGGTCTGGCCTCGAGGGCACCGACCGCAGGAATGGCAGATGCCTCGGCAAACCTCTGGGACACCAAGTCGCAGGGTCTGCCCTTGAGGTCACTTGCAAAAGAGAACCCTCAAGAAGGCCATGGTACATGAAGTCCCACAGTCTGGCC